ATATGATGAATGCTTTTTGAATATATATTTTGAAAAATATTGTTTTATTCATCTGGATTATCTCTGTAAATATAATTAGTTCGTTTTTTTTTCTTCGCTTCCAACATGGTCATGGTTTGCCATGGGCTGTCGATTCCCGGGTTTGTACCTATAGGTTGGGAATCGCCCAGTATTATAGTTGAGTGGAAAAGCAACTGTCGATTTATCGGAGAGTTGAACTCTGCCTTTGTTACTTTGAGACAATAAAAGGATTTATTATTATTTTTTCAATAAATTGAGATATTCTGGTCAGTCATGAGCTGGACTAAGACCCCTTCAAAGGATGACGCTGAGTTTTGGGACACCCTATGTTGTGTTGAATAAGTTATCTCGATATCAAATAATCTTCATCTGCAAACAATCATCGAAACCAGGTAACCATGGTGATTATTCAACATCGATAATTGAACACTTTCTTTAGGCCTCATATCAATTTCAAAGAATGTTAAAAAGATTACTTATCAGAATAGTAATAAAATATCCTGATGAATACGTATTCCAGCAACAATGTTGAAGTGAAAGAAAAATAAAGATGAGCTGATTCCAGAAAGGAGATAGGTGTTGGATTTTTCTCAAGTTTTGGAGAATATAAGTACTTGGAAATACTTCCATAGGCAAAGAAATTCAAAGCTTTGCCGTTCTATAGAAGAACGCGTTTTGTTCGACATATTTCAATTCAAGGTCGACAACGGAAGGATGTGCTGACTGGGCCTGTCGAGTTTGTCTGAGTGAATCTATTCGGACTTTTCTGAATATCCGTGAATATAATCGTTATATCGTTAGTATACTTTTGTAATATCTATACTTCACTCAACTGAGTGACAACTGTTGTTTTTGTGTTAGACTTCTGACATATGGATCAAATATATATAGTTCTTTAAAACCTACGACGCGTCTGAACTGATCCAAAAAAATTTTTTTCACGAATTCATAGCTGCAACTGTAAATTAGACAGAAGAAACTTTTGTATTGCAACTGTTAATAGGGCAGAGAAAACTTTTTTTCCAAAACACCTCCTAATCAACAGTTGCAACAGTTATTAGGCAAATGTTCGTGAAAACAAAAAGTTATTCTAATATGGCAGTTCAGACGCGTCGTAATAACACATATTTTTCATGGAACAATTAAATAGGTATGACTTATGGTCTACCGCAAATAAATAAAATAAAATGCTTCTTTCAACGACATAACGCAAGTGGACAATTGTTTTCAAAATGGCGGCGCATTCTAAAATCAGTATGGCGACACTGTGATGTCATCGATACAATTTTTGTCAAGTTACCTGATCGAAAAGCAAATGAAGGATGCAATATGATTACATTTTGATAAAACATGAGGAAATTTCGATTCATAACCAATAATATATATTATTACTTTCAGTAATTCTTTCACATGACATGCTTTCTCTTGACATTGACAATTTCCATATGAAACATCATTGAAAAGGGAATTCTTTGCTTTATGGAACAAATATCCACAGGGTCGAAATGCTTGACTTAGGTCTATTTCCGGTTAAACCGGAATTGATATTCAATCTATTATTCATGGAAAATATGGGTTTTGAAGAAAATTCATCTTCGATCAAGAAGTCAGAAGTCGGACATAAAAAACAACTGAATGTCGCCCTTTCAATAATGACTGTCGCCTGATAATCAAAGAATCATCACGCACATTCATTGACTTATATTTTCATCGTTCACAGAACCACTGACATTCATAATTGTTGATCTGTAATGGGAAAGACTACCTAATAATCGACTGAAATCTGTCAGGATCTTCTTCTCTTCTCTTTTGTGTAGACTAGTAAATAAACACAAACGAATAACTAACTGACTCAAGAATTTAAATTAAATGGTCTGAAAATACCTGCGGCCTTTCATGTGCTCAGGATATGTCAGGATATAGAATTTTATAATAAGTGCACTAATTTTAAGTGACTTCTGCCATACGCTTTATACTATTGGTGAACATACATCTTCAGTACTTTCCAAATTATCTCCATTTCATTTTGGGATTTGTTGATATAATAGTTTTTTAACGGTATGGCAGGTAAAAGGAGAAACTTCATTTCAGTAATTATTGGTGGTTGTTCTTTAGAATCTATGAACGTGCATCCATTTTCTACTTCAAACCTGACATCTGAGGTTGAAATATATATACCTCAATTTGACTGATTCGAGAGACAAATTATTTTTTCCCACATTATTTTTCAGTCCTGAACTTCTTTTACATGAAAATAAAAGTGTATATACCTCAGGGATTGATTATGGACACAATTTTGTCTTGACAGCTTATTTTTCTGTATGTTGTTCAATTCTGAATTCTGCGAAATAAATCCCAAACAAATATTCACGTATCATAACAACAATATAATTTCAATTAGAACCCAATAATACCTATTTGGCGATGAATCTCAATTGAATTTAATGAAAATTCAAGTTTACTATAATTAGGTAGCTATATAGAATCAAATTCTTAATTCAGTGATCACATAAACAGAATCACGAAACGTTGTTGTACATATAACTCGTAGCTATTTCAGATTACTCTAGGTGGATGTATTCAACTCCTCAGGTAGGTGAATGAATATTTATCATTATCAAAATATTGAATCCCTCAATCAAATAACTCATATCAACTATTTATAATCAATAATATAAATCATCATAAAGGCAAATTGTAAATCAGTTCGAAAGCTTGTATGTCTGTATTGAACATATTTTTCCGTTTCTCCTGTATTTCCTCTCGTAAAATAGACATAAAATTTTATGGAACATAAAATCTATTTTTGGAGAGACGGTATAGTCCAAAATCCGGAATAGTGAATCCAAAACTTACGTAGTTCCTATTGTAACCACTCATAATGCGTGGTTATCTGGTTGGTCGGTCTTCCACCTTCAATCATCAACAAAAGGTATCAAGTAACATCCACTATGATCGGCAGAAAGCACTAGCACCCACTACAAATCACATTCAATATAGAATGTGATTCTAATTATTTCATTAAGCATAGTTACTGTACGTTTATTTCCAATACTATGATATAGAAATTATCCCGAATTATGATTCAGTCACTGATGAAAATTCCTGAACAGTGATCTGGGTGGATCAATGGAGATGAAAATGTTTCACGTGCCCAGTACGATGGAAAATATTATTGAGAAATACGAAGTCGCATGTCTCACTGTATTATTTTAACCACTGGTAACGGTTTCAGGTCCGACGCTCAGCGCCTCTGTGGCGTCGAATCGACCAAAGTCGAAGAAAAGCGGAAGCCACCGAAACACTATTAAAAGAATAGCGAGTCTGATAGATGATTTACGGAATTTTATTGGTGTTGATTCAATTCGGTTATTTGAATGGCACGTGTTTATTTTCGTGTTTCTTCTTGTTTGTCGGAATTAAAATAATCAAGAAAAACTATAATAAAACGTCACGAATAACTCTGTGAGGGCACTAGTTGACACAAGTTTATATTGAAAAGAAGAGTAGGAAGAAAATCAGGAAGAGAAGAGAGAGAAGTTGAAGAATCGAAGGTAGAAGAAGAGGGATGAAGAAGAAGAAGTAGAAGGAGAAGTATTTTTTTCTTTTAACTGACTCGGCCGTTACTTGATGGAAATCCATGACAAATGTAAAAACTTCACAAACGATAAGATTTCCACAAAATTCTCAAACACACGACATGTTTTGCTAACACAGTAGCTTCGTCAGGTGATATACTGGTACAATGAACTAAACTAACGTTGGCTTGCTCAACTTTTAAATATATTATCTTACTTTCCCAACCTGAAGGATTAGTTACCTGTGGACAGGTACGATAAACCTCCATTTTCGGAAATTAGGCACAATATCTACATCAAATTACGGTATACCGGATTAACTTGAAAGAGTTGATATTAAATACATATTATTACTTACTAAGAAAACAAATTCAATAGTGGTGAACTATCGAGGTCTAATTGATCACCACTGAGGGAAAATGGACATCAATTTGAACAATTCAATGAATAAGTTACTGAAAAATCCCGAAATTCGATTGTTTTAGTCAATATTCAATCAGGTGCTTATTCTACATTATGAACTTTTTATTACTATTTATTTGTTGCTATCAGGTACCCAAGTTTCGTGTTTTGTTGATTAATTGGTGTTGATATTGGTTCTGACCTCTTCATAGAAAAATTTGAAGGAATATTTCTTTAATTGGAACGTTTTTTATATGAAAAATCCATAGCCCACTATTAAACTCCAATATTTTAGTGATTTTTGAGCATTTTTGAAAATTTTATAGTTATTCATTTTATATCATTTTGAAGACAAATAAATAAGGAATTCAATGAGCTTATAAAATACAGGGTGTTCCATTTAAAAAATCATAAGTTCGAGTCGTATCCAAAACGGTACCCCGAAAAAAAATTTAAGTGCGCCACTGGAGACTGTTTGATATAGGGGGGTCCGAAAAGTATGGATTTTCAAAATCACCCTGTATCTCATAAACGGAAACAGTCTTGCAAAATCTGATCAAGCCATCTTGAGTAACACAAAAAAGTGACAAAGGACCGCGGAAACCGCAAGGTTCTATCTCCAAAGATAACTGAGATATCACGCAAGAGCATCGAAAACTGGACACACTGTACAGTGTACACGATATTATCAAATTTCTAATATCATTGATATAATATTGGTAATCAAGTATTGGTTCAATCGGAGTTATTTCTGAAATCCACTCGATTGAAATTACACCCGAAAATTTCCCACTATGCACACAAGTGTATAAGGCACTTTCGACTTGAAATTGTTCAAGGCAATGCCCTCAAGCTTTGGCGATCGAGTTACAGACATCCTTCATATTTAGTAGGTAATTTAGATATTTCTTTTTTGCTTAGTCGGCTTATCAATTTTGTTATCATTTTGGCGATTGAATATGTATATATCTTCCACGAAACCGATGAAATAACGAAATATTGGTACTTGATTATCTTTAATTTTGTCGAGTCAGTATAAGTTTTATGATTGTCGCATGCAATACTGATATCTGGTAGGGTAGAGAATCATGAATGGATGCAAATACATTCAGTTGACCTCTTCGACATACTTTTCGTTCACTGGTGTTATCATCAATTCGTTTATCTGAAAAAGAAAATCTATAAGTAACAACTGATTTTACACAAGTAAGTTATGGTTTTTTTGTTAGAATTCACAGAGCTGTCGTGTAGAAAGGTGAGCAGCTTGATGAAATGGATATGTGAAAACTCCACATGAGGATCGTCATTCAAATATATAATACAGAGTGAGACTGTCCCACAATTTCAGTGATAACTCAGTTATTGCAAAAAAAAGACTATGAAGAGATTATTCGAAAACTACTTTGAATGGCATCCTACTAGTTGTTCGTGCAAATTGAATATCCACTCTATTCCAAACAGAATGACAGAATAATATTATACCTACTATATCAATCACATTATTGGTGTGAAAAATAAATGAGTACCTTCATAAGTATTAACAATTTTCTCAGCTTGAGCTCATATATCCCAGGAATCAACTATAGGCCCTGATTGTGGGAATACGACTCCAGTATCGATTTGATTTCATGAGTGTATAATTTCCGGTAAACCAGAAATGCATCTAATTTCTTTATTTCAATTACCAAGTTTTTTTTAATAACGGTTCAGTATAAAATTACCTTCCCAACGATATATCACAATCATACTTTCAATCTACAATCTACTCATATACCTAATTGAGATTTTATAAAACATTACTTTTTGTATTACCCTTGTAACTTGTACGACAATTATCAAATAAAATATTTTGTAGCGTCAGATTTTGCAGTTTCAATAATCCTCTTCCAGCACAATGGAAAATGAAGTGAAGCAAGGTCATTGAAATGTGAATTCTGTGAACAGTTCAATGACAAATTTCACATAAGTTCATATTGGCATAAAGTCTTTCAGTCTCTATTTGAATTGGAAGAAGTCTTTTGAAATGTACTCAGTGATTTTATACAGTGGAAAGCGGTACTTATTCAAACCATGAACTATGACCATTGAATGTGGTGTAGAATGTTAAAACATTATAATAGAATTTTCCTTATTCCAAATATGCTCTATATTTGTGCTGTGAATTGCTTTCTCAAAAACCAAGATCTGACATGTGGAGTGCAAAATGAGAAGCAAAGCCTTTCGTGATTTGTTCGTCCGCCATATTGGATACGCATTCTAGTCCCTAAGATATATGAAGGTTATGAGTTCTGTGGTATAAACTAACCAAATGCCAAAATGTAAGTATATAGGATAACATGTGTAAATTTGATGGGAATTTCTGAACAACTTCATAAAATTCTATGATAGGATGAAAAGAGAGATCATTGGTGTCGAAAAATGGAGAAAAACTAAAATTGTTAAAAATAGTTAGTGTGCATAAAAAATATTTTGTAAGAACCTTCTTATCTATGGTTCTCCATTTTGTTGTCAGAATTTTCGATTGATTAAAAATCTTGTTTTTTCACTTTTTTCCATCAATAACTGAACAATTATCAATGTTATACTTATAAAAATCACTGTTGCTCTTTTATCCTTCTGAAATTTGTTAATCAATTCAATTTTGAATTTACAACTGTTGTCTTTTCCATTTCAATTTCTTCTTAATATAAAATCATGTTTGGTTTCTATTGTAGATACACTTTGCTAATTTGACTGAAGATGGCCATTTGAATGGCCGAAACATGTATCAACTTTCAACCTTATTGAAGCAGGATTGACTGCCTTCTTAGACATTGAAATTGTGGAGACGACTTTGAGTTTTTCTTTCTTGATCATTATTATTATTATTATTATCTGCATATTGATCTACTGATTTACTGAAACATTTCATTATCTACTGAGAAAGATTTTGACGCTCATTTATTATTATAATTAAATATATTATTATCACGTTTGATTTTTTTATTTGTTTTTTATTTTTGTTGTTAGTTTTTACCTCGGCGAAAAACTTTGTATTTTGTCCCACCTGATTGCTAGCCTCGGCTAAATCAATTTGCAGACTCGTCTATAATAGACAGTGTTTCGTCCTTGGTGCATAAATAACTATTTCTGTAAAATCACTATTATATTATTATTACTAGATTATGGATTGGAAATATGATTGTGATTTATCGTTATGACATTTATTCGTAATCGAAATATCCAGAAAAAAGACTTTATATTCGAAAAAGAAAAAAATCATGCACGTCCGGTCAAGCCGGTCTGATACTAGCAAAATCATCAAATCATCAAATCCATGAACAAAATTTGAAACATCAATTCAAAATAGCAAGGAATATACACATACTTTGCTCATGTGAAGTATTAGTCCGCCAAAGGCTGAACCACCTAGAACAGGTCTATCTCACCACTGCTGAAGTGGAAAAGTCAACCGTCAGAAAAATCGTAGGCTTCATCTGAAGTCTAGGGTTAGAGGGCCAAAACTAGATAGGGGTAATCACAATAGATCTTCTAGGTCGCAGTGATCGAGAGGTCACTCAGCCTATACGACCCATCTACAATCTACAATCTACTGGTTCCGAGTCAATGCCGGATGACCCAATAAACACAAACATCCCTGGGATGTCACATTCATGTCTCGCTAGGTAACAATGCGAATTACAAGAAAACCAAGAACTAAGAACTTCACATTTTGATGTCGAATGAGGAGTCGCTTGATATGTACTGTGAGGTTCATTTGACATCATAATGTGAATCATAAAATGACCAAAAGGGTACGGAATAGCAGTCATTGTGATTTCAGTGGGACTCTCTTGTACTGTACTGTACTGCTTGTATGTTTGTAAATTTATTGAGATAAAATCATTATGAATTATACCTGAACATATGGTGGAGTTGATAGTCCATACATAACAGCATCAGCCACATCTTCAGATTCAACAGCTGGAAGGTGTGACATCTCAATAGTCATATTCGTCTTTACTAAACCTGGGCTTATACTCTGAAAACAAATTATATGAATTCATTGACGCAGCAAGTTCTGATGTTGCATGATTTTCGCATCTAAGATGCCTGAGTTCGCAGTCATTTTTATCATAATTAAACCCTTAACGACAAATATTCAACAGAAAACCAATCGGAAGCACTCTGTTGGCTTATTATACAGAACGCTGAATCAGAAGTGGATAAGATCCAATTTGGCAGCAGATCCAGACCGAGTGCAAAGGGATATTTCATTCACATTACCAAAGATTACTGAAAGATTATCTTCTGTTGTCTATGACATTACCCGTCATGGTTAAAGCTGATAAGCCCATTTCATTGTGTTTAACCCGGTTTAACCTGTGTGTTTAACCGTGACGTCATTACCGTTTGTGTAGGTACACCTCCCCTACCTGCCCAAGGTGGTCAAAGGTAAACTTGAATATTTGTTTACAAATGATGAATGTGAAAAATGGAGGATATGATGGGAACATTCAAATTGAAAATGGATGGAGTGGATGTCGAAGTGAGAGATACACGGGTAAACTGTGGAAGTGGGTGAAGTGAAAGAAAAAGAAAATAAAAAATGGTCAATGTTGACGTCATCATGACGTATTTGCCTCCCACCACCTTCACCTATATACTCTAACCGGGTTTGGTCTTTGAGTTCTGTGGATTTAACGGTGAATGAGAATGAAATATCTCTCAACTGATCAGGACTGATGAGCTGGAACAGTACTCTTACCGACAACTCCAATCTTTCATTATGAATTATGATCATAGATAGCTATAGAAACATGTATTGTATATGCTATACCAGGTGACACAGGGTATCAGGCCACTCCTGTAACTTCTACATTCGTAAGTAAATTTTTCTGAAATTTGATAGTTATATAATCGAGAATTTTGGATTTGATCACATAACAATCCAAAATGTCGGACCTCCAGTTTTTCTGGAGATGCCAGCAACTTTTTTTTGTCACCTAGAATGCCCTGTATATTTCTATATATACATGTTCAACAAGCAAATGCAATCTTTATGTCGAATGTCACTTCTTCAAATTCATGAATTAGGTGTGGATTTTCGAATGTATACAATTTTTTATTGTACCGAAGTACTAAAAGATATGTAATTTGTTTTCTCAATGTATGTTCTAGAAAGACATGTAGGTGGCCCATAGGGGTTCCCTATGAAAAAAATTAATTGTTGACCAAAATTTGAGGTGACTGAATTGATTCATCGAGTGACACAAAAAATAATTTTTCAGAAAAATATATGTTTTGCTATAGCCTCACCATATCTCATTTGTATATCCACGAGGTGAAATTGAGAAAAATAGTTTTTTCAACTCCTTGTATCTTGAAAACGGCTGCTTTTACGACATTTTTTACTATAAGCTTTTACTAAGCAAATCCAACTTATTTTGCAGTGTTCTACCTACCCTATCTTGGGACCACTACTGTTCATTGCCTTTCTGAGCGACATTGATGACACTTGTACCTCCGCAAATCGAACGATAATATATGCTGATGATACAAATATTCTAATGTCACACAACAACATTGACCAACTTACAAAATTGAGCAACAATGCATCTAAAGATATAGCAAAGTATAGCCTTGAAAATGGTCTTATTTTGAATACAAACAAAACCAATTATGTCCGTTTCCTGCCAAAAAACGTAAATCCAAATTATGACCTATACCTGAACTTGTCTGGAAAATCTATACAATCAGTGGAGACTATCAAGTTCTTAGGTGTTACTTTGGATAGTAAGCTAACATGGGAAGCACACATAAACACTGTATGTTCGAAAATAAGCACTACATGCTATGTAATAAAAAATCTGCGAGATACTGTATCTACAAACATCCTGAAGTTACTTTTTTTCGGGCTGGTTCAGTCAACTCTTGTCACTTTGAAAGGGTATTCGTAACACAAAAAAGGATAATGAGAACAATTTGTCATGCCCATCCAATGAAAACATGTAAACCACTCTTCAAGAAATTTCAAATACTAACCCTACCATGTTTGTATATTCTTGAACTAACTATGTACATAAAAGTGAACCAAAATGAATTCATGAGAAATGAAGATATGCATATGTATAATACTAGGAATAAAGAAAAATTTCGACAGCCCTATTCAAGATTGACAGTCTGTGAAAATTCACCAAAGCATATGGGTATCAAATGATATTTCATTCAAAAATGAATTGAAGAACTTTCTTCTTGAAAATGCATTTTATAGTGTGGAGGAGTTTTATAATTGTTGATGTTCAAATATTGTCAGAGTTTCTAATGTGTATGTATGAGTGTTTTATATTTTGTCTTTGTGACTTTACCTATAGGTACACTATTTTGGCATTGTATTATTTGTAACCATTTCTTCGTTTGACTAGTCTGATAAGTTTTGTACATTGTGTATGAGCTATACCTTGTATAATCTTTGATTGACGAATAAATTTATCTTATCTTATCTAGCAAGCGGGCCACTTTACACCCTTTATAACTGTACCAGATTTCAGAAAAATCCGTTAATGTATTCTGAAGTTACAGGGGTGGTCCGATACCCTGTGGCACACGATATATAATCAAGGATAATAGTCATGTTCATTAAACAATTAACCGGAATGGATAGAAATGGATGGATAAGTGTATCGTCATACTGAGCAACGTGCCAACTACAAACTATTCATATTTAATTCTTTAAAACATGTCTGCTCAAAAAAGAAAACTATTGCCTGCCAAGTAACTCATCTTTAGCCAGCAGTTTATGTTATACCAATATGGAAGAACTTAAGACCAGGGTCGAAAATTTTTTGAACCGAAAAAAATTATAGTAGAATGAATCCCATTAGAGAAGGAAGAGGAGGTAACAAAAATTACATTCGATTGTGAGCTTGGGAAGTGGAGAGGAGTGAGCTTTTGAGGGTTAAAAACGGTTAATCTTGATATCTGGCAATACGGGTCCTATGGAAAAAAGTTAAATAGCAAAACTGTAGGTATCGAAAAGATTTATACTCTTGTAGGCACACTTTTTTCACATAAATAAATGAATAAATGAGTAAATGAATGAAAAAAATATAATTGAAACAACCAAGTTCTCATTTTACTTGATTTTTTGAGATTTCCTCTCCTCGTTTCTATGAAATAAAAATAGTCGTATTACTTCAAGTAAAATGGATGTACCACCCCCTCGATTAACCTACAAACCAAGTTCTTGGTTTTTTATTTTTATCCTTTGCAAAAAATAAAATTTCCTACGAAATTTTCAAGAAAACTCACCTCTTTATGTCTCAAATACACGGTAAATTTTTCAAATTGTAATATTCTTATTTTCACCTTATTTTGACTCAATATCCAAAATGCACCCTAATTTTCAATCGGAAATTCTCGCGTCATTATTATCTGGATTTTCGAAGAAGTCGGTAAACTTTTTGCTTGTTTGTCGATTGAAAATCAGGGTGCTTGCTCGATATTATGTCAAAATAGGGCAAAAAAAAGAATATTCCAAATCAAAAATATCACAGTGAATTTGGAACATGAAGAGGTAAGTTTCAACAAAATTTCGTGAGATTGTTTTTGTAAAAGATAAAAATAAGAAGTCAAAAACTTGTTCATTTGAATTTTTCATATTAATGTGAAAACAGTGTGGATATAAAATTCACAGATCTTTCTATTACCTACAACTTTGGCATTCAACTTTTCCATAGGACTTGTAGTTTTGCCAGAAATCTCAATAATCCGTTTTTTCACCCTTACCGACCTCAGATCACCCGTAATTTATTTCTCCTTTCATCTCTGTGATATTCTCTTCATCTCCCAATGGGTTTCATCCTACTATAATTATTCTCCCATCTCTCCGTTTTCAAAGACTTCAGCACTGGTCTAAATAGAAAATTCGTCCATTGGAATAGCAGCTTCTTCGATTGATTTATCAGTTTCAATTTTAGTACTCCAGGATAGCCTCAATTCCTTGATGTTGAAATCAACCAAATCAACGCTGATTTGAAATGAAACAGCCATTTTTTTTTATCGCTTGGAGCGCACGAAAGGGAATCCCTATAATGTTCAAAGAACATCGTGCGTTCCTAGGGAGGATAGGGACAGGAGGTAGGTATTGGAATTTTTTTTGAACTTTTGGAGATTATATGTTGTTGGGAATACTTCCACAGGCAATGAATTCCAGAGCCTAGCCGTTCTATGGATGAAGGAGTCCTGATAAAGTGCTGTTCGACATCTTCCGAGGTTGACAACAAAAGGATGTGCTGACTGGGCTTGTCTAGTTCGTCTGATTGGTATTGCTAGTAAAGGGATGATTGCAGAGATTTCTGAAGAACATTTCCCGTGGAAGTATCGATAGAAAAGTGAAAGGTCGCCGACCTTTCTACGGTGTTCCAATGATGTCAAAGAGTGAGTGAGTGTGGCGTCACCCACCAGGCGAATGGCTCTTCTCTGGATGGAATCTAAGAGCATCAGCGTATGTTTTGGTGCTGGACCCCATATGTGGGAACAGTATTGTAGAACAGGCCGTATCTGCGCTTTGTAGATCATGAGAAGCTGTTGAGGTGTAAAAATAGCTTTTCGCACGGAACAAGAATCCGAGTTTTTGTGAAGCAGCTTTTGCGATGGATCTGACATGATTATCCCATGAAAGATTGTTGCTGATGGAAATACCGAGCATAGATATGGTGGGCTTGGTGGGGTTGGTGGAGCCAGACATTACAATATCGGGAATACTGAGTTCCGCCTTTCTAGAGAAAATACAGGCTTGCGTTTTGGTGGCGTTAAATTCAACTATAGGTTGTTCGTTCCCCAGGCTGTGATTTCAGCAAGGTCTTCATTGACAGCATTGACCTGGCGCCGTGAGTTCTTAGTTTCCTGGGAAAAAATGGAAATTCTGGAAGAGAACGCAGTATGGAGGGTACTATCATCTGCAAAGCTGTGGATGGGGCAAGTAGTTACTCCCAACAGATCATTGATATGAAGCAGGAATAATGTTGGTGCCAAAATTGATCCTTGTGGAACGCCGGAATTGATGCCAATGGTATCAGACGATACACCGTCCACCACCACGTGAAGCGATCTGCCTGAAAGAAAACTCGATAAGAGATGGCATAGCTGAGGTGGTAAGCCGTATGATGGTAGTTTGTGGAGGAGTCCTTCGTGCCAAACACGGTCGAACGCTTTCGATATGTCCAACGCGACAGCTAGAGATTCCCCGTGTTTTTCTATTGAAGATTGCCATAAATGGGTGACGTAGGCAAGTAGATTTTATTTCGACTCACCGTGATTTTAATTCGGAGTCCTAAACTATCTAACTCCTTCAATGTCGTCTCTGTCAATGCAGTAACAGCATGTTTAGAAGCTGGGTAAACATTGCTAAAGGAGAAATACGGTGCTCTATGCCCGCCAACGCTATTGATATTAAAAATATGCCCATCTATATCGTTTTGCCTCATCCGCTTCACTGTCTCTCTTGTAGCAATACAGGTCCCTAATACGTTAATATCGAGAGTTTCTTTCCACAATTTTGTATCACCCTCCACTATGTTGGTGTCTAATATTACACCCGCATTGTTGATCAGAATGGAGACTGGCCCCAGGTTTCTGTCCACCCATTCGAAGGCATTGAGGATGTCTTCTTCTTTGGACATGTCGCATTTGAGGGGGTGCAATAGCTGGCTTTGGTTTTGTTTTTCCGCAATTATTGTTTCCATTGAGTCCAACGTCTTGTCCAAGCCAACTACCTGAAACACGAAAATAATTAAACTCTGAATATACCACAGAGTGGCGATTCCTTGTGATATTTTAGGAAATAAAGTTCATATAACCATGTGTCCTAACTTACTTCATTTTCGAGATACAGGGTATTAATATTTCTATGAAAAATCTTTTTTCTATTCATTTCTTGATTGTCTTTTCATCAATTTCAATGAAACGTTGTAGTTCTGTTAATAGTAATATGGAGCTTCTTCTAGTGGAATTAGATTCGAAATAATATTTCCAGTGGCGTCACAGTAAGAAAATATATCGACACCACCGGTTTTTCTGTGATTTTTGTATCTAGCTTAGTTTTTGAGGAAACAATAAAAAATCGATTTGACTCCAAATTTTAATGTAGGGGTTTCCAAGACTTTTATTGGGATTAGTCAATAACCCCTGTATCTCCAGAAAGGAGCTAGTTAGGACACAGGTTCATATAAACTTTATTTGCTAGAATGTCACAAAGAAACACCCCTTGAACTTCTTTGGTGTTATTCAGATACACCCTAGTTGAATGCTCTGAATTAGATTACCACCTGAATTGTCACTCATCTAACAGCTCTCAACAACTTTCAATGAACATTTCCCTCATATTTTTTTTATCACTTGGTGTGCACGAAAGGGAATTCCTATAACGTTCGAAGAACATCGTGCGTACCTAGGGAGGATAGGGAGAGGAGGTAGGTGCTGGATTTTTTTTTAACTTTTGGAGATTATAAGTTCTTGGAAATACTTCCTTAGGCAATGAATTCCAGAGCTTTTCCGTTCTATAAAGAAACGAATTTTGAAATAGTGCTTTTCGACATATTTCGAGGTAGAGAACGAATGAATGTGCTGACTGCGATTGTCGAGTTCGTCTGGCTGGTATTGCTAGTCGTGGTATGATAGCAGAGATTCATGAAGAACTTTTCCCGTGAAAAAGTGAAAGATCGCCGATCTTTTTACGGTGTTCCAATGATGTCAAAGTGTTAGTGAGTGTGACATCACCCACCAGGCATATGGCACTTCTCTGGATGGACTCTAAGAGCATCAGAGTATGGTGCTGTGATAGAGTAGGCCCTGGCTGTACCCCATATGTGAGAACATTATTCTAGAACAGGTTGTATATGTGCTCTGTATATCATGAGAAGTTGTTGATGTGTGAAATAGAAAGTATCGAAGAATTAATATATATAGCTTCATTCGACGAAAGTGTTCGGTAAATCAAACACAGATTAGATAATGTATTGTTGTTCAAAAGGTATTTATAAATTATCATATTCTCCGAAAACAGAATTTTCAATGATAAATAATAATGGCAGTTGATGTGAAATCCGGGAAATACCTACACAAAGTTATGATTGTAAATTCCCCAGAATCAGTGATATGATTGATATTGATAAGTAAATACAGTTTTAGTGATAGAAATGCAGAAGTCAAGCTTCTACGTTCTTTTTGACTTTGTGTTTCCTCAGGATAGGCAAATGATGAAACATTTGCGAACATATTCTTCAGAGGGATATATTGCAACGGGTGGTTCTATGCAGGTTGTCATTTACACCCTGTAGAAGAAACAAAGGTGAAAACATGAAATTTCACGCACTTTGGTGTTCGCAGTGAACATAATGGGCGTGTACACCTTGGTAGAACTTTTAACTCAAACCATGTTTATAATGATCCTTTCATACATAAATAATGATTGACGACATAATTCGATCGAAAAATTTACTGAAATGTTCAATTTTTGGACATAAATAATAGTACCATCTGAAAACGGACCCTCTTATGACGTAGAAACCTCATCTCGCCATAGTTAAAAGAAAATACCAAACGCCGGACGGAGACTGAGGCAACTGATATATATTATTAATTCTTTCAACTGTGATCTCGCGCTAATTCACTCTGCCAGAAATCATGTATCATTCATCTCTGTCTGAAATAGTCCTGTTTCAGTATTAGAGTTTTGACGTCACATCATCGCCTCGTTTTCAGAGCTCCGAAAAATCGGGGATATCAATAATTTTTTATAAAACGTAGGGAGCTCACAGCGATAAACGGTTTGCGGTGGTGAGCTAGTTTGGGTGAGTTCTATCGAATTATGGAATACATTTTTTTTGTGATATAAGCCCATTATGTTGGAGTCATGTTTATCATAAATCTTGATAACCAGAGGACCTCGCACTTTTTGTTGGTAAAATGGTTCACGGGGAAATTTTCTGAATTTTCAGTAAATATGTTGAGAATTCGATCAACTGATTGAAAGTGCTAAATCTTAGAATTGATTGATGATTCGATTTTGAAACACAGGGCGATAAAGTTCCAAATCGGTAATTTCTATTTATTTATTGTCTTGAGATGTTGAGGTGCCAATTGCATTTTTTTGCTCGTATCATTGACGTTCCTTCATATTTCTCAATATCATTCAAATGGTTCAGATTTTGGCTACAGAGTGAAAAATATGAACACTTTAGAGATGTCTGAAAATTCGATGTATTATTGCAATAGAATATTGAGAAAATTATTTTGGAATTATTATACTATTCTCATTCCATCATGAATCACAATTCATACATTTCATACGGGGTGATTTGAAGAATTGGTGACACATAAATGATCGATTCATTTGAAAACATCCCGTATATTTAGGGGAATTGTTATCCTCCAACGGTACCTGACACCGTATGAACATGATTCCGTTGGATATGTAGGGTCATCATGAAGACAAAATATCACTCACACTTTGGTGAAATTCCTTGATTATTTTGATTTAAATTTCCCATCATGACTGGTTTCATAGTTATTAATTGAGGAACTTACCATTTGCATGAGTAGTTGAAGAATGTAGAGAAGATAATTTATGTAATATTCAACTACGGGTGGGGATTATCGATAACAATAGCAGATATATGAATTTGATTATATAAATACAGATAGATCAGTATTTCTCGAGTGGAATTACAGATGGAAGATGTCTCAGTTAGTAAAGAGATTTATCCAATAAAAAAAAAGTTCGAACAATTTTTGGCAAGATAAATCAACGACAATTGATAAATAAACAACAATAATGATTTCCTCCATTGATGATTTCGTGTTCCTTGTAGTTTGCGAAATATTTTTTTTTGCATATTGTGGTTTCTTCAGAAGACATTTTATTGAAACTGCTCATCTTACGATTTTCCGTGTGAACAATTCCCAACAATAATAATTGACAAGACAGAAATTGTGACAGTCGCATACTAGATGAAGATCAGGCGTTTTAACAGCGATAAAGTCATTTTGACATCAATAAAAAAGAATGCACCTTTTTTATCGCCTGCAAAAGTCAAGTTGATTGCTGGGTGTTCACGCGATGAAGCAAGATGAATCGTTTTAGTAAAATTTCGTCTGAAGAAACCAAACAAAATATAAGGAAATTAATTCCAGAAACTACCATTAACACGAAATCATCAATAAAGGTAATCATTATTGTTGTTTATTTGTATATTGTCGTTGATTCCTCTTGCCTAAAAACACTCGAATTTTGATTCAATTGTATAAATTTCCTCACAAACGAGAGAAATAGGTGTTTTTCTCTCGAAAAACTGACATTAGACTAAATTGGTTGACCTTCAGTTTTTCTCGTAAAATTACTTATACTGATCCGCAAAATTTTTTCGTTAGTAAGAGAAAGTCCGCGATGAAAAACGGTCTTGTATCTTTTCTGTTGATAAAAAAGGTGCATCCTTTTTTATCGATGTCAAAGTGACTCACATCATCGCCAAATGGAGTTCTCTGTGAAGATTTATCAGATCAAAAAACGTTGATTTGTATATTATTGAGAATAGCAGCAAGAACATATCCTTGGACCTCTCATATTTAGTAATGATGGACATTCACAAAATACATTATATACGTTCAACGAATGACACTCAGTTTGATAGTTATTGCTGCCAACAACTTGCATAAAATGTCTCAAACTTCACAGATAAAATAAAGACGAATGACTGGTAGCAAACATATGTTTTTGTTTTTTTCTCATAGTTCGATTTTCAGATGAAATTCCAAAATACCTTTATGCCAGTTTCCATCAACTGTTTGGTGATAGCAGCTCCAATCCCAGCATTAGCACCAGTTACTAAAGCCACTTTGCCTACCCATCGCGTCAATGAGAGCACCATGTTTGCAGAGGTTTAAGATGCTTTCATTCCATCTGCATTTATATATTGGATTCAAATTATGAATTGTTAATTATCGAATTATCATATTTGGTTTGGAAGGTCAGCAATTATCAAAATCGGCAATTATAAACAGCTCCAAAAAAAGGAGAAACGGATATGCTGATCCAACGAATGCAGTCATTACTTTTAATGATTCGATTGTTTTTCAAATAATCATATCAAGTGAACATAATGAGATTTTTCTGCAACCGACACAAAAGTCGTCCATTTTGACACCAAAATTAGCTCTTGAATGTTTCTATTACTGACACAAAAATAGTTATGTTGCTAGGTAACATATTTAGTTCCTAGGAGCTGAATTTGAACTTCAGTTATTCCTAGGAGCTAAAGGTGAACTTTAGCTCTCAACTCTTCAAGATTCAAATAATTGCTTCAATCAAATGGTATTTTCACTTGGAAAAAACTCAAGTAGTGGGTTCTCAGTGGTTTCATATGTTTTTGGAAGTGCTGAATTCGAATGTGAATTTTGCACACAATATTTCCTGGAGCATTCCGAGATATTCGCAAAAAACAGCAACATTTTCGGACTTTTTTCGTTTTTTTGCCCGTTACTCGGAAATTATACGTTATATCGAAAAGACTGCTCTATAAAAAGTTGAAGTAAATAAAATTTCCTGAAAATAATTGTATTGCTCATGAATGTAGGACTCACGAGTGCGGAGATAGAGCCAGTTGAAAATTGACCAAATTTGTGTACTTTTAAAAAAATAGCGTTTCTCGTCGGCTGACGCATTGAAACCCACATGAGCGAGAATTGATTCTAATACTTATTCATCAATAGGTGATCTTGATAGTTTGAATAGTTTATCAGTTTTATATCAAAATGTTTAAAGAATACCCTACAGCATATGCGAGCAGAGGTTTTATTAGGCACTTCTAATCGTTAAAAGAAGCACCGAAATTGAGTAGCACTGAACCAAGTATTGAGATGTATTGAGGAGTATTACAAAAAATATTATAAGATAAATTTTGTCTCTGTTATGTTGAATTTTCGCCTATAAATTCAAATAATGTTGGTTGTGAACAGATGCATGTTTTATTCATAGATAGAACAATCATCCATTGATTTTCATTCAATGCATTCACCTCCAAATAGTCAGTGGTCCATGGCAATTTTGAAAATTGTCAAATGGTCCCTCAGCACTAAAAGGTTGAGAACCACTGTTCTAGATTATCATTATCATTCCCATTCATACAAAAAAGGTGTATTCATTGATTTTCGTATATCGAAATTATTTCTCCTTATTATTTTTCCATTTACATTTTCAATCAAAACTGATCGTGGTGCAGTATGATTTTGGATTACTTTGGCAGGTTCCCACCTATTGTTATTTCTATAAACCACATTATCACCGGGACCATATGAGCAAACTTTTCTTTTTGAATTTCTATCATAATAAAAATTAATTCTTTCGGCAACTTTCTCTAATGTTTCTGTGAAGTTTTCGATAATAACAGGTTTCAATAGATTATTTTTTATTGGTAACTTGGTTCTTGTTCTTCTACTGAATAGCAGTTGAGCTGGAGAAAAATTGTATCCAGTGACTGGCGTATTTCGATATTCCAAAAGCATGATGTTACCCTCAATTGATTTTTTCAGAATATTTTTACAGATACCGACAGCTTTTTCTGCAAGACCATTACTTTTAGGATAATATGGACTAGATGTGTTTATTTCAAATTGCCACTCCTCACTAAAATTTTTAAATTCGAATGAATTGAAAGGCATATTATCTGCGACTAGTATATTGGGTATTCCGTGAATGGAGAATATAGTTTCCAAAGACTTGATAATGGTACTGGAATTTTTGGATGATAATTTAACGAGTTCTATCCGCCATTTTGAAAAATAGTCTGTGAGGACTAAATATGATGCACCCGAAAATTCCAGAATATCACATGCTATTTTTTCAAAGGGATATGAAGGTGATTCTTGTATAATCATAGGTTCCTTCACATTCCTGTATGATTTGCTGTTGTTGATCCCCGATTGATTGAAATTTTCATTTTCATCTTTCTTGATTGGTGTTACTTGCTTCTCTATTCTGTTGATTTCTGAAGTTTGGATTTCCTTTGTTTGTTTCCTCACTAATTCAGCTAATCTAATTGTATCTATAGCTTCTTTCAAAGTAACTGACCCTTTCTTTATTAGCTTTTGACGTGATTCACGATCTCTTGAATCCAGAACCACTTTATCCCTGAGCATGTCATCTGGATCTTTGAATCCACAATCTTGACACAGCCTTCTTATGTCCATTAGGTATGTATCAAATGGTTCCATTTCATTATGTTTCCTACTGTAGAAAAGGAATCTTGAATGTAATATATTTCTTTTTCTACTCACATAACTAAAATGGCATTTTTCTACTCACATAACTAAAATGGCATTTAGCGTACGGATATTTACCACGCTAAATGATCGATTAATCACGAATTGTCGATCTGTGATTTATTCAAAATATTAAACACGTTACCATGGCAACACGATTTCTTAAACACATTACCATGGCAACGCAGTTCATTAAACACAGCTTCAGCAATTTGAGACATGTCTGCCTGTCAATTGTATTAACTGTCAACTGTCATTTTTAAATTTTGTATCAGAATTATTCAAACAATATTCGTTTTTATCAGAATTCTTCATTAAAAATATATGCGAAAAGTAGACGAAAGTGAAATCGAAGAGAATGTTCTGGTACTTGCATATCCCCAAGAAGTGTAAAAATGAAGCATTCATCTTTGAGAACAATTTATTTATTCTGCGCTAAGCATGACAATAAACGTGAAACAAAGGTTAGTAAGCAATGGACTGGACACATCTACAACCAATATCACTTAAACGTGTCTCGCTGGTTGCATGCAGTTGCAAGTACCTATTATGTTCTCCATTTCCATTCCGTCCGAATTATTTTGTAGGTTAGCAGGAATTGCAGGTATGTTAATGTAATTATCGATGTTCGTAGAAAAATCATAGTATGTAACGCGTTTATAAACTCTTCTAGACACTCGTTTATTAAACACTCGCTCCGCTCTGCTCCGCTCGTGCTTAAACTACTCGTTACTAAAAGGACGTTTATAACACTTGTCACATAATATACTATTATCGTACGGATATGTACCACGCTAAATGATCGATTAATCACGGATTGTCGATCTGTGATTTAGTCAAAATATTAAACACGTTACCATGGCAACACGATTTCTTAAACACATCACCATGGCAACGCAGTTCATTAAACACAGCTTTAGTAATTTGAAACATGTCTGGCCTGTCAATTGTATTAACTGTCAACTGTTATTTTCATATTTTGTATCAGAATTATTCAAACAATATTCGTTTGTATCGGAATTCTTCATTAAAAATATATGCGAAAAGTAGACGAGAGTGAAATCGAAGAGAATGTTCAGGTACATACATACCTCCAAGAAGTGTGAAAATAAAGCATTCATCGTTGAGAACAATTTATTTATTCTGCGCTAAGCATGACAATAAACGTGAAACAAAGGTTAGTAAGCAATGGACTGGACAGATCTACAACCAATATATCACTTATACGTGTCTCGCTGGTTGCATGCAGTTGTATGTATAATGTTTTCAATTCCCATTCCTTTCGAATTATTTTGTAGGTTAGCAGGAATAACAGGTATGTTAATTAATGTAATTTTTGGAGTTCGTAGAAAAATCATAGTATGTAACGCGTTTATAAACTCTTCTAGACACTCGTTTATTAAACACTCGCACCGCTCTGCTCCGCTCGTGCTTAAACTACTCGTTACTAAAAGGACGTTTATAACACCTGTTACATAATATACTATTTTGGTGAACAGTATTCTTCAAAAGCTTTCAAAACTTCATCAATGTCTTTCTTCTCATTCTTCAACTTCAATAACTTCACTGATTCTTGTCCAACAACATTGAGAAATATTGCTACTTGCCTTTCTTTGGTTTCTTTGTCAAAAGCAGATGCGACAAGATATATTCGAGAAGCTTGTTTGAAACTTAATTTTATCGGTTTATGCGATTAATTTGTTCTTTCTTAGTTTCGAAGTTGATGTGATTGACATATTGAAGTAGGGACACACTATAAGTATATCTTTTTGTGATACCTCGTATAGTACCTACTTTTGCTTTGAGTTGATATAAATTATTTACGCACATGTTGACCATTGACCATTTGATTATGGAAATTGAAATATTTTATTTCGGAGGATTTTTGAGAGATGCAAACAACAAACAAGAATGAATAACAAGATAAATACATATAAAAATAATGAGATATTATGTTATTAATCACAACCGATAAACACGCGGTATGAATTATAATAAAAATACTCGTGATCCATGTTTCCTCATTGAAGTTATCAGTAAATGATATTTTTCTGCAACCGACACTAATATCAAAATCAGCTATTGAATTGACGTTTCTATTACTGACACAAACATAGGTATGTTACTAGGCAACATCAGTTCCTAGTAGCGAAAGTTGAACTTCAGCTCCTAGGAATCAAAAATAGATGATAGCAGACGACAAAATAAAACGAAATAGAAGAATACATTTTCAACGTGACAAAAATATTTTGGAAGATATCGAGCTTCAAGGTTTTCCTGCAAACTTTCGATAACCATTACTCAGTTCAAAGTTCCCCTGAAACTTTTGATAATCATTGATCAGAGGTAAATAGCCCAACCAGATCGTTTGCTTTCGGTGAGATCACAAGCACCGGCAGTATCAATGACTTTTGTTATTTTTCGGACGTTTAAAATAATAGTTGAAAGATGTAGTATGGAGGAAGCGCAAATTCTTCGAAGTTTTCAAAACAATTTTTTCTTGTGATTTATTGTGTCATTATGTCTCATAAAATACCTCATTTCAAGAATCGCCCCAATTTCGGAAACACCCTGTAAAATATGATATCGAACCTGTTATTGATGATAAATAAATATTTTTTTCTGTGACGGGAAAAAATTTGGCATATCATCTCTGTTGGCACTTTTCATAAA